GGTAAGACACCAAAGAAGTAAGTGTTTCGTATTAACTACATTACCAAAAAGTGAAACAAAGGTAAAAATTCCTCTACATTCTTATCATCTGAGCAGATCACTATGGAATTCTAGTTGTGTGTATAGTAATAAAAGAATTTAGCACATGTGTTGGGATAAGTCAGGAGTGCCTAGAATACAGAGCATGGTTGCAGAGACCTCCCAGTGAGGAAGGCAGGAACCAGACCCACTCCATTCTAAACACACTGTCTCTTACCCAACAGCCTCCAGGCAAAACTATTAGGTCTCTAATCCCTTAATCCTAACAGGGGCTCTTGTAGATCATGTGACCAGAGTACAGGACAAAGGCCATGTGCCTTAGAAGCCCCCTCCCTCCCCATACCTGCCTGCCCACCAGAAACCCAACCCTGCCTCTCTGCCTGCAAAACTTTCCTATATAAACCTCTGCTTCTGCCATAGTAAATGAGCTGTCTGCTGACACAGTCTCCTGGGTGTTTTCTCCCAAGGCCCCTCGCACCCCATTGGTCTCTCTCCTCGCACCAACCTTCCGTGATGGGGACTGGTGCGCAGTGGTCTCCCGGTAGCAGCAGAGTTCAGGCCGAGGGGAAGCCAACAGACATGGATATTCATTGAGACCTTGTGACATATTAATCCTTTGAATGGAAATTTTCTTTGCAAAAGGAAGACTTGTGCCCTGTTTTTAAATCATTTCCTGCACCTACTGGTTCTTAGTGGTAAAGAGGCATATTTCTCCATGGAATATTCTGGTTCCTCCACTGTCTTACATGTGGATAGTAATTATACTACAGAGGAAAATTCTGTCCTTCCTTCCCAAGTTCTCCAGGCTGAGCTGAGAAGCTGATTAAATGATACTAAAATGTTAATATATGCTTTCTTGTAGTTTATTTTTAATGTGTATTTTTATTGAATTTTTGTGCATTTAATACAAAACATTGTAATCATCTTTATACTTCTTCCACATCCACATCTCCCATAGTTCCCCTACCCCCAACTGTATTTCATGCATTCTGTCATATATGTTCAGGCTTGTGGAGTCAAGTTAGTATACCCAGACATCCCTCAGTGCAAGTTCATCCACTGGGGTCTAGTCAGCCTATCTAGAGTCTCTTACTTAAAGAAGATCAGCTCTCCCTCACCTGGCAGTGATTAGCTGCCTATAGTTCTTCGACTATGGCTGGAGCTTGCTGTCCATTTCCCCAGTTCTGTGCTAGTTTTGTCTGATTGTGTTTGCATGGGTCTTGTGCATGCTGACACCGTTGCTATAGGTTCATATGCGCAAGGTCCCAGGAGCCTGTAAAACTCTGTTTCCATATGGTCAGACAGCTCCTTCCCTGGTTCTTACAATCTTTCTGTCCCCTCTTTCACAGTGGTCCCTGAGACCTGGGTGGGTGAAGTTTACTACAGGAGTCCTGTGCAGGGACCCACGCTCTGCAGACTCTTATTCTCTAGGCTTTGGCCATATTGTGGCCTTTTGTGATATCCCATTGTAGATGTGTCACTTAGGGCTGGGCATCTCACAGACACTTATTCTCTGTGTGTGACCAGTTTTGGAACTCTGTAATAGCCTCTGTTTACTACAAAAGAAGCTTTTTTGATGAGTGGTGACTGGCTTACTTGTCTGTAAATATAAGGATCCATATTTAGCATATAATAAGAAATTATATTGGTCTAGGGATGACAGCCTTAGGGTTTTCTCTAAGATCTATGACCTCTCCATCCATGTGTATTTGACTGTATTTTCAGTACCATACATAAATTCCCTCCCATTGAGTGGGCTTTTAGCCCAATTAAGTAGCTGTTGATTACCCTTGAGATAAAAGTGTCACTACTGTACCAGTCATTGTGTTTATTAGGTTTTAAAGCTGGGTTTGGACCATTGATTAATTTTCTCCCTTAGCAGCTTGCATAGTGCTCTCCAAAACTGTGAAAGCTAATCTTCAGGAGGTGGCTTCTATGTTAGTTCTAGCTCATTGCTCCAAGTCCTATGTCCAAAGTATGTCCTGTCCTCAGCAACAGGGTCTTACCTTCAAATTCCGGGAGGCAATCAAAGGCTGTGTAAGTTTTGGAGTTTTGTCAACTACCCTGACCTTATTTTTTGTGTGTATGAGTGTTATGCCCTCATATATGTAAGTGCACCCTGTTGGGCAGTGCCGGTAGAGGCCAGAAGAGGGTGTTGGTCCCTTGGGACTGGAGTTATGGATGGTTGTTAGCTACCATGTGGGTGCTGAGATTCAAACTTGGGTGTTCTGAAAGTGCAGTCAATGCTCTTAACTGCTGAGCCATCTCTCCAGTCCCCCTTAACTATTTTCATGAGCATATTTTCTCCTTTGAATGATTGTGACACTAGTAAACTTACAAGTACACACACACACCCCAGCTTTCCTGTGTGTCCTCTGCACACTAAAGTGATTGACCACAAAGCTCTTAAAGACATGCCAAAGGAAGGGCCGATTTGAAAAAAGAGCTCAGAGAGGAGCATGATTAGAGATCAGTCAAGGAGAGCAGCTCTGTTATACCAGTGGGCTCAAAAAGTGGTAGATGGCCATAGTTGAAGGAGTCCTTCAAGGTGCTCTCAGTTCACAGAAAAAGAGTCTTCTTTTGCTTCTAATTCCATATAACACCCCCCCTGGGGTTTGTGCTAGTGTGGGCATGTGTGTGGTGAAAAATCGCAGAATGCTGGATGCCCGGAGGATCCCCCTTTTTTCATATGACTGTGCTTCTTGATGTCCCACCAAGCTGGCCAGCTCTGATCTTGAGGGTTTGGAGGAGGAAGAAGATAGGAGACTGCTTGGGATTTCTCTGAGCTCATGAGGAGAGTTAAGAGCCTTAGATTAGGAAGGACTCCAGGTTTCAGACTGGGGAAAGAAGGAGGCTGTGAAGGGAGAAAGGGTCTCATGCTAGAATCCATATCATCATCCTGTACACTGTGCTCACTGTATCTCACTATCAGGAAAACTTTATAAAACAAATGCATTTACATACAAATCTTAACATCTCAATATATTGTATATAGTAAGTAGAAAATATGTAGAAAAAGAGCAAATAATATATAGGAAGAAAAGTTTTTCACTGGTGATACACCCTTAACTCATTTTGACTCACCTTTAATAAGATGTCCATTATCACTAAACTTTGTAGGATGTAGATCATAATTAAACAATTTTGGAGGAGAGATAATTTGCTGTTTTGATCTACAAACAATGTCTGTACATTGAGTTTAGCTTATCTTACGATTTTCAATGACCTTGCTTGAACCATCTGAAAAATATCAAGTTAGATGTGTTTTTAATGGTGAATTCTAACCTTTACAGTGTTTTTTCTATATTTGCTAGGTTATTGGAAGTGTTTTAAAAATATGACTTTCAAAAGGGTAAGATTTTTCACCCCCTTTTAATAGATATTCTTTGCACTTTTAAAGCTCAAGTGTCCATCTCTGCATTTGCTATAACAGCCTAGAGTTTATAACCCAGATTCTGAAAGGAAACCGTAGCAATAATAGGTTGCTAAGCAACTCTCTTAGCTAATTAAACAAGGTGCCTAGAATTATTCTGATCACCTGTGTTGCTCACCCATGATGGATCAATTAAAAATGATGCTCTCTTCTAGGTTTTGTTAAAACTTCTACTAGAAATGAGTGAAAGAATATTTTATTTATTTTTTAATATTTTTATTTATTATTTTTTATTTTATTTGTATGAGTGTATGACCTGCATGTATGTACGTAAGTGCACCTATGTGGTGCATTACCTGTGGAAGTCAGAAGAGGGCGTTGGATCCCCTGGAACTGGAGTTATAGATGGCTGTTAGCTGCTATGTGGGTGCTGGGAACCAAACCCAGTCCTCTTCAAGTGCAGCCAGTGCTCTTAACTGCTGAGCCATCTCTCCAGCCCCAGAATATTTTATTCATAATAATTAAAAAGAAAATCACTAAAATTACAATTACATGAAAAATGTTTGAAACAACCTAATAATCAATAATACTAGGATGGGATACTTAACCAAATGATAGATTACATAAAGTATTATAAAATCATACCAATTGTGGTTTTCTGTGCACTATAATAAGTAGGATATTTTAGTCAGATTGCAAATCATACCTGTCTTTATTATACAAATCAACAGGAATAGGCACAGCTTAATATATTCCTTTCATAACAATTTCACACTGTTATTGCTTTTCAAAATAAAATTGAGACAGAAGGAAACCTATTTAGTTTATCCTGATTATAATTAATTTTACCACTTGGGTGTATTAGAAAATGTGAGTTGTGAAATGTAGTCATGGACCTGGTCCTGAACTGGTCAAATAGTTTATTTTTCTGTTTAGTGTTACATCAGTAATTAAAATCAAAGGCAAGGGTGGGTGGCAGGACATGAGTGTGTGCCGCCAAGGAGCAGCTTTGTGCCTGACAAGCACATCCTGCTGTTTCTATTATGCTAATCCTGAGGCTGCCATGGGATCCACTTTTCATTTCCTACTCATGGCGTTCTCTCTCTATGCTATTTTTCCATCTAGTTTCCAGAAATCTCCTTGAATAGAAAATTATCTTTCTGTATATACTTACCTAAGAGGTCCTTGATTTAAACTTGATTTCACTAATCATATTTGGAAGGATGCACATTTCTATGAAGTCAACTAGGATCTGAGGTTTGGACTGTTTAGCTTTATTTTATAAAAACTTTTTACTTTGGCCGTCTGATGTCTTGTTTTTTTGGTTTTTTTTTTTTTTCTTTCAGTCTTTAGTTAGCTATTATTGATTCTCAAACATATTGCACTTCTTTGTCCTTGACTTTCCAATATATGGGAAAACATAAAAATTTGACAACATCTAAAGTTATCCATGTTGAAGGACTGTGGTATGAGGATGGAGGTGTCACGGTCAAGTTCTCCAGGCTGCTGCCTTGGCATTGTAAACTGTAGCCTCATGAGGATCCAGAATGTTCTTCTCTACTCACTTTCTTATGTTTTTTTACTCCAGCTGGAATGCTTTTGGATTCCTCTGACTTCTTCTAAGACTGAGACCCTGAGGACCAGCTGGAGATGCCGTCTGAACGCTGCCTCAGGTACACCCTGAGGGATAATGCCCTTGCTTGATAAAGTCAGCTCTAAGATAGTCATACTGTCTGAACTGAGCACGTTCCAAGGCCAAACCCTGGGCAGGGACTGCACACAGGTTTGACTGAATAAACAAAGCAGGCACAATTTTTGTGATTTTGGGATGGCTACATAAGGATGAACCACGAAGTCTTTGTTGGCCAAACAGAAGAGTTTCATGATTCTTTGAATGATGCTCCATTTTATCTTTTTCTTTTCTGGATGCTAACCTCCTTTGAGCAAAAGGAAAATCAGTATAAAGGAACATGATTTAAAAAAAACAAACTCAGAAAACTGTACCTGCTTATGAGCATTGTCCCCTGGGAAGGATTTACAGAAACCTCATAAACTCTTCTTTTAATGATCATTTATTTAAAAAAATATTTGTTGACCCAAATTCTCTACTTGAAGCAGAGTGGCTAGCTCTAAGTGATACAGATATGGTTCCTTCCTCCATAAAATGGATATTCTATGGGAGAAACAGACATTAAACAATCACCTCAGCAGCAATGTAAATGTAATTATGAAAAGTGTTCTGATGGAAAAGTACAGGGTGAATACGGTGAGGAAGTATATTCCTGTGATCTGAAGGATAGGGTGACTTGGGAAATGCCCCAAGGCAGAAAGGAGCTTGGCACATTCTAAATCTGAGGGGCAGTCAGTGAGAAAGGGCATGCCATCCATTCTGCCTGGAGGCAAGTCTTCCTTAGCATCAGAGGAAGTGAAACGGCTTCAGAACAAAGATTAAGAGATGTAATACATGTGGAGAACACGTTTTTTCATGTGAGGAATTAGATGTGTCTGTTAAATAACGAGGCCTGTGTTCTCTGAAGCTATTAGAAATGATTATTTCCAAATGGGTTCAGAACTGGTGTACCACTAGAGCCGGTATAACACCTCTGACTTCCCCATCTAAATTGTTGTACTCAGTAATTATCAAGGGAAGCGGGGATTGGGGTAGGCTGCTCAAGGACTAGCAGAATTTTTTTTTTTATTGTCATTGGGGTAGGAGTACAATTGATGTTTAGTGGGTAGAGGCTACACATTATGCTAAAGATCTTACAGTATAGAAGGCAGCTCCCCATGGGAAAAACTAGTCTAGCTCAGAATGCCAGTGGTATCAAGGCCAAGAAAACATGCTTCAGATCTGGTGTCTAGCCATTATGGCAAGTGAGGACTGTACTGTCTGTAAGCCACCACCTCAGTCTAGTGATTTGTCTCTTGCTACCAGAATCGATGTGCGTTCTCAAAATTACTTTTTGCCATCAGTCTGCCATCCCTATTTTTATCAATGAGCTCTTACCCTATTGTCTGTCCTCCACAGTCAGTCATCTCTGTAATGGTGTCTCCTCCTCTGCTTCCACCCAAACCCTCCCTACTCTCACACTCTTCCATCAGCCATAGGAACTGTTGCAGCAAGACCACACGTTCTGCTTCATCATTCTCCCCAACACAGACTCTTTTTGGAAGATCTGCCCAGCTCCACGGCCCTTGGATTCTCAACCTGCCTTTCTCCAGAGAGCTTGTCCTTACACGTAGCCATTCACTACCATGGCCACGCTTTGGACCTTGTCATCCCCAGTAATCACATCTTTTCTGAAATCAGTGTGCCAGCTGTTTTACCATGGATTCCTTTCCTAACTTGCAGGTTTACCTGTTTCTCAGGGGCTGATACTTGACCTCACTGAAATGTCTCATCCACCAGCCTAGCTGCTTTTCCACCAACTGTCAATCTTTTCCCTCCTTCACTTCCCTTCTTAACTACTTTAAATTCTCTCACTTTTGTTCAGCCCTTAATTTTCTTTATTCTTTGTGTTTTTGAGGCATTTGCCTAAGAAAGATCCTAATTTAGATGAACCAAATAATGTGTGTTGTGGGACTGGAGAGATGGCTCTGCGGTTGAAAGCACTGGCTGCTCTTCCAGAGGACCCAGGTTTGGTTCCCAGTACCCACATTCAGCTAACAACCCCTCTAACTCCAGTTCCAGGGGATCTGACACCTCCACAGGCAGTGCACGGCTTGAGTGTACTTACATATATGTAAGAAACACACTCATACACATAAAATAAAAATAAATATATTTTAAAATCTGTGTTGCATATTTTTTGGTTTGTTCGATCTCAAGATTTTTGTGACCTAGTCTCCACTGGACAACACAGATTATTTGGTTCATCAGAATTCGTATTTTTCTTAGGCAAATGTGTGTTTCTGGTGCCCCTGTTTCCTGCTACTCAAGGGGAAGTCCTGTCAACCACGGCTAAGTCCAGAAGACTTTAAATCTTCCTTCTCTTCAGATTAACTTTCTTTTATGATTTTTATTTTACATGTATGAGTGCATTGCCTGCATGTATGCAAGTGCACCCATGTCATACAGTGCCCTCGGAGGTCAGAAGAAGGCATCGGATCCCCAGGAACTGGAGTCACAGACAGTTGTTAGCCCCCATGTGTGTGCTGGGAATTGAACCTGGGTCTTCTGCAAGAACAGCCAGTGCTCTTAACTGCTGAGCCGTCTCTCCAGCCCTCAGATGTACTGGCTGTACCTCATGTACATTCTTGAGACAGCTGTGCTCTGTTAGCTGCTCTGAGAATATGAATCAGAGACATATGTCCCTAGCCAAGATTTCTTTCTGAGCTCCAGATCTATGAATTAAGCTTTGTGTTTGACATTAGGACTTGGAAGTCTTTAAGACAACTCAAACGTAACCTGTCCCAATCTGAATTCATCACCTTCCTCTTTAGAATTCTTATCTCCTTTCACTAGTCTCCTACTTTTGTGATTGACTTATATAAACAAGAAATGTGCCCATCTTACCTGGGGACCTTCCTCCCATCTTCGTATGTCCCATCATCAAGGCTTCTAGAATTCTCTGAATAGCTTTCAAACCTATTCAACCTCTCCGAAATTCTTTCCTGATGTTTCAGTCCAAGGCACAGGTAGGGCTCAGCTGTTGGCATGCTGTGGAAGCTGCTCTTGTCTATCACAGTGTTCCTAACTGCTCTTGGTATTGTAGATGAAATCATTTTTTCAGTGACTTCCGCTAGCTTTCTGGATACCCTGGCCCAGTATTCTATAAAAATAAAATTAATTCCATTGTGGGATCTTTTAATAACATGCCCACTTAAATAGTATTCTTTTATGATTAATCTACCTGTATAAAAACATTTTGACCATGTAACTGGTACTCACCTGGTGATTCGTTGGTGGACTGAATTAACATAATTAGACATAACTCTATTACTATTCAGAATTTTTGTCCATTTTCTTTCTTGTGTAGTCTACTTAAGCAATAAGATTCAAAAATAAAGGGAAAAGGATAAAGAATAAGAAATAAATAAGGCTTTTTATGTTACTTGACTGTTTTTGCTATATAAGAATATATGACCTTATTGGTCATTTCTTGAAAACTATTTGCATATTTTTTGCATGTCATGTTCCTCAGGGACTCGATTAGTAGGAAATATTAAAAGAGAAATTCACTGAATAATTGCTTTAAAATTTACTCCGTACAAACTGCCTGAATTCAGTCAAATGGCTATATGAAAATAAGACTCTATGGGTTTTCTGAGCTCAAAAGTTGTGAGCTCTGTGAACTCAAAGAAGCCATTTGCACTAAGGCAATGATTCAGAATAAGCAGGGCGTGTGGCATTAGAAGCCTGCTCTGCATTTGATTTAGTAGTTTCTGTGATCAGTTCAGGAATAAAAGTTACAGGCTGGAAGTCATGAATAGCCCTGTTCCCTGAGACCTGTGCATTAATCTCTCCATTATTAGATGCTGGCATGTGACTGATGGAGTGCTTGCTCCCTGGCATTACTAAAAAGCCATCTGTGGCTCAGGGAATCTGGGCTTCCTGCTGTCACACTGAAGTCCTGGTTTGGCCCTGTGGAGAGGTAGGAATGGGTTCCACGCTAGCTGGTTGATTGGAATCACCTGACACTCTTATACGGCACAGGTGAAAATCAATTGAGGTGCCTGTCTTCCTATGAACTTGTGGGTTTCCAAATGGAGTCCTAGTAGGAAGCATATTTAGTTTAAAGTAGATGAATTTTTAAAAAGGAGTAAGGAAACAGGTCCTATTAATTTTAACAACGTGCTCAATATTCCTACATGAAGATACTTTGTATTCTTTTTTTCATCTCATTTTTTGACAGTGCGGTTTTACACCAACAGGACTTGTTACTTTGGGCTAGCCTATTCAGAGTGCTCAATAACCACAGGATGCTATTGGCTCTCTTTTGGCAATGCAGCTCTTAGGGCCTTCAGAGACAAGGGCGCTGGCTCTGCATCAGGGAACTGAGGGCCTGTACCACTTGTGCATTTTGAAGAGCTATTTCTTTTATGGAAGATTTTTCTCAGTTTTAAAATGGTGTTCAAACTAATTTCCTTGAGAAATGTAGCACCTTCATCAAGTATTTTTCCAGGAATTTGGGAATGCTATTTCCATTTTTGTTTGTTTCCTGGTACTGTAAGGACATTCCTCTGACCTGGGACAGCAGTTTGCTGATTTGACATTCATTATAAGTGCTGAGCAAGCTGCTTACCACTGTACAATCTGCTCCTCACCTTAATTTTAGCATGGTACGCTGTAGTCTTTGGTACATATTGTTCCCAGTGTATGGTCATTAACCAGGTAAAGCTTTATGCTGTCTTCTGGCTGTTCTGTGGCTGGTGTGCCATAACACTTACAGGGCTAAGGTCTTTTGTAGCTTTATATGTGAGAGTTGAGTGGGAAGTTGCTTTGAGAGTACAATAATGACTTGTTGATTAATAGGCCTTTATTTCTTGCCAAATGTCATGGTATTTATTTCTGCTTTTAAGAACTCATAACATATTGGTTCCAAAATATTTTAGAGCATCTGCCAAGTGTTGTCTTAAATATTTATCATGTAATAGTCTTTAAGCTTGACTATTTCAAACTGAGCTGAATAAGTCTTTGAAACCAAGGAGCAACACTATTGTTTTAAAGCTTAACTCTTCATTCTTTGCCAAATTGCTGTTTACAGTTGCTCTTTCCCTGGCAAGACTTATTCCCTTTCAACAGAGATCTGAAATGCAAATGCTGATTCAGGCTTCATAATAAGAACATGAATTGTGGTACTATATTTGGAAAATGAGTAAGGAAACATTTTAAAGCAATTATTTTAATATATTATTGTTCCACTACAAATGAGATTTCAAAATACATTTATTGAACTTTTAAAATGACATAAAATGGGAGAAAGGAAATTATGAAAGTTTCAAATACATTTTATAAAGCTGTGATATTAAAAGTCTATTTTCTTTCTCAAAACTTTAGTCATAGTACATAGACAAATACTTTTGAAACCTGACTACATGGTTTTCTGGTTAGCTTATGTTATTTTGTTCATGTATATGATTCTAACTGGTTGATTTTTAAGATTAATTATTTGTATACATATAAAATTAATGGGGACTTTTATGATTTTTTGTTTACTTGAGCAAAAGGAGAACTTCCTTATTCCTTACAGATTATCTTTTTTACTTTCTTTCTTTTTTTTTTTTAGCAAATAAAGGAATTATATTATTGCGTTCTTAGGGTTGGGCTTCAAAATGCGTGCTCTTGGACTTTCAGTCTTAACTGTAAAATTGAAATATTGATAGTACATTACTTCTAGGATTATTAGAAAGATTAAATTATTAATCATTATTATAATATAATTACTTAGTAATTATAAATCACTCAGAATAATTGGCTGAACACTGTAAGCACTATGTGTTTGTTAAATATGTAAAAAAATCATAATTTTAAGAAAGATTTGTCCAACCATCCTAAAGCTATTCTTTGATATCTATTTCTGTTATGTTTCCTCATTTCTTTAACAGCATGATGCTAATTAATCTCTAGGCTTTACATAGAAATTTGTATAAAAACTATTTATGTTTCTGAATGTGATTTTCAATTACTGATTTTGAGAGCCTGTCTACAAGAGGCACAGGTGAATATTCAGCAACAGAAAGCATTTCAGTATCCAGGGTCACATTTCAAATGGAGATACACCCAGCCCCCACCCCCCTCGGGCTCCAGAAAGTTTTGTGCCACCAAGTTACTTCCTTTCCAGTCCTAATGTTTCCCAGTGGAAAATGTCCAATAAAGTGTGTGGACTTTTGATAGGAAACCTTTAGTTAATTTTAAGGTGGAGATTTGTGGTTTAAGTAATTTAAAAGACAACTGGCACAGGCTGGGCAGAACCTGTCCACCTAAATCAGCAGTGTGGGCAAAGCTGGTGTCTACTTTGTTTCCCATGAACAGCTCTTTCATGCTTAGGAGGAAGGGGTGCAGAATTGCCAGATAGGGTGAGCCTATACTCAGCCATCTTTAGGTATCTTTACTCAGCTTTGGAGACTAGGTCAGTGTTTGGACACAGAACTTGATACCATTGATGTCCTTTTAGGAGTAAGTTATTACTGCATAGTCAGAATCTAGTACCGCTTCTGAGATTTTAGAGCTCCGTGGAGACATTTTTGATCATCTATGCAAGATCTGTCCATAGCTAACTGGAAGTTCAGTTTCTATGGTGTGTTTATGATATTACTTCAGTGTTATTTTAGGAAATTCTGGAGGTTTAACTAGGAATTTTGAAAGGACATAAGGATAAATGTTTTAGGATAGGATAGTGTGAAGGGATAAGTTTCACAATTGAAGGGTTTAGCAAGTTCATAAAATAAAAAGAAAAATAAGCTTGTATAGTAATTCATAAATCTAGTACAATTATACACAGACACTGGGAACTGATAATATAGGCAAATTTTACTTTAACTTTTTAGTCTTTCTTTTCATTTACAAGGATACTTTTTTTTTTTCTGAAACAGGCTCATGTAGCCCAGGCTGGCCTCTAACTTACTATGCAACCAAAAATAACCTTGACCTTCTGATCCTCCCACATCTACTTCCTGAGTGCTTGGATTATAGGCCTATGCCACCAGCCTTGTTTATTACAAAGGAACTTCTTTTGACATTCTTTATGTGACATATAATTTCAAAACTTAATAATAAACTGGTTTGATTGCCTTTCATTTGGAATGTTCACCTGTAGCTCTTGTTTTTCATAACTAGCTTTTTCCAATTTTCTTGTATTTATTGGATCTATTGTGTCCTAGGGAGACATGATAAGGCCTAAAGCGGGAGAGAAATCAGAGTTAGATAGGGAGTTACAGAATAGGAAGAGTGTTCGCCCCACATGGAAACACATACACACATGCACACACACGTGCGCATATGTAAAGCAAGTTTTATTCTCACAGATGTACATACACTGAGGGAATATGGGCTCAGAAGCGGTCTCATAGGTTGACAGGTAGACAGTGACACAAAATCTTAGTAAGGCCACTAGCAGGAGAAAGAGGCTCAGGAGTAGGGCAGAGAAAAGAACCAGAAAAGGAGAAGGAAAAATAGCAGCGAGGGCAAAAGTGGGACCAGGCAGGTCCAGGTCATGCGCACTGGAATCCAAGTTTTCTCGTCAAAGTTTAGAGTAAGCGTTCCTGGAAAGCAGAGCGGAGGAGAGGATTAAAGAGGACTCCATTGCTCTCCTTTGTAGTATTCAAGAAATGCTGACAGGCCAGAGGCTCTGCCACTCCGAATCTCACAATGACACTGTCCTGGCAGCGCTGAATCAGCAGAGAAACGACGGCATTCTCTGTGATGTGACCCTGATTGCAGAGGAACAGAAATTCCACGCTCACAAGGCAGTCCTAGCAGCCTGCAGTGACTATTTCCGGGTAAGTGAACGTAGATTGTCTATGTGTTTGTCATAAGATGTCAATACACAGGGAAAAGTGATGTTTCCTGACCTGCCAGCCAGCCTTGAGTTGTAAATGTTGAGAGCCTGTGTTCTTTATTGGACAACATTGCATTTGGGACCCCATTGACATACTTTCTTGGCTGGGTACCTGCTATCCTCACAATGTAAAGCGGGACTCCTCTTTGCATCTGACTAAATGGCATTTGGCATTTTGCCACCACTTGAAAATGTGACATTGACATGTGGCTAGAGAAGATATGTTGTCTTGTTTGGTAGAATGTTAGAATTTAATTTCCATCTGTGAATGATACGTGGTGATATGATTGTCCTTTTGTAAGATGAAAGGGTACAGTGGATCTATAGCTAAGTGCCATTTCCTGTAGCTTTGGTGGACAAGATATGTATTTGTCTATATATGCATATATATGTACATATATATGCATATATACATATTTCATTTAATCGTCACACAAACACCTATAGAAACACATGCACATGCTATTGAAAGTCACCATTTTGCATAAAAGGAAACTTGATCTCAGAGGTTAAATAAGTTGTTGCAACTCAGAAGTAAATAATAAACACAGTTCTTAAATCGAATATCTGGAACTAAAAAGGGTTTGACTCCTTTTCACTTAAAAGCTTATTATTTGGGGACTAGGGAGATAGTTCAGTGCTTAAAGCACTTGCCACCCAAATATGAGAACTGAATTTGGATCCCTAGAACTCAAGTGAATGCCAGGTGGGTGTGGTGACCTGACTGTAATTTCAGCCTTTGAAGACAATGTTAGAGGATCTCCAGAGCAAGGTGGCTATGGAGATGAGTCATATCAACCAGCTTTGGGTTAGATTAAGAGACCCTGCCTCAGTGAGGAAGGTGGAATAATGATTGAAGATGATTTCCGACATCAACCTTGATCCTCCATGTGGATGCACACACAGGTGCACATGTATCCACACACGTAGACATTCATGCATGCACACATATGCACACCACACACACAAAAATGAAAAAAGAATATATATTATTATTGTGTTGTGTGTGCATGATGTGTGTGGATATACATGACACAGTATGTGAGTAGAGGTCAGAGGATAATGCGGAGTCCATTCTCTCCTTCCACATTTATGTGTGGGTTCCGGGGATTGAACTCAGATCTCCAGGCTTGTGCAGCAAGATCCTTTACCATTTCACAAGCCCCTATTTTTTAAAAATTGACATGTATTCATTGTTGAGTTTCATAAAGGCGATTTCTCTCAAATACCATGTACTTTCACCACATGCACTGGCCTCCTCTACGCTCCCCTCAGTGCCCCTCCTGCTTACCCCTCCCACTGGTTTTCTTCCTTTTCCAGGTCTTCATATCATGTATAGGATTTTACATATCTATAAAGAATTATAGGACCTACAAATAAGATAAAAAACAGTCTTTGACTTTCTGTGCCTGGCTATGTTGCTTAATATGATCATGTCCACTAGTATTCATTTTCCAGCAAGTGAGATGACTCACTGTTTTGTATGACTGAGTAAAAATCCATTGTGTATGTACACTACAGTTTCTTTATCTTTCTTGTCTGTTGAGGGAAGTCTAGGTTGATTCTGTAACTCAACTATTGTTAACAGCTGCGGCAAACATGGATGTGTAGCTATGTCTGTGGTATTCTCAGTCCTTCGGGTATATATACAGAAGTTGTAGAGCTGGTTCATGTTCTGTTTTTACTTTTTGGGGATCCTCCATGCTGCCTTCCATAGTGACTAGCCTAGGATGAGATGGAACCTCAAAATGGTCTTAGTTTGCATTTCCCTAAGAGGTAAGGATTCTTTTATGTTTACTGGCCACTTGTACTTCATCTTTTTGTGAGTCATATATATTATATATTATTATCTGCATATATATACTTAAAAATAGAATGCCACACACCCTTTTTTAAAAATTTGATGGTGTTACCTAATATGGTTGTTTGAATGAGAATGTCCCTCATAGGCACCAAGTATTTGGACATTTTGTCTCCAGTTGGTGGCACTGTTTTGGGAGGCTTTACGAGGTGTGGCCGTGCTAGAGGAAGCATGTCACTGAGGGCCGGCTTTGAGAGTTCTAAAGCCTTGCTGGATTTCCAGCTGCTCTCTGCTTCCTATGTCTGCTTGAGGATGTGAGAGCTTAGCTATCTGCTCCAGCCACCTTTGCTGCTGTGCCTCCCGGCCATATGGACCTTTATTCCTGGAACCATGAGGTCAAATAAACCCTTCCTTCTGTAAGTTGCCTTAGTCATGGTGTCTTATCACAATAGAAAAGTGCTTAATACACCCACATAACATAGGATGAATATTTTTCCATATTAACAAATGTATTTCTGTAATATTTTAGCGATAATATAATACTCCATATTCTATGAACTATACTGTGTCAAATTCAATGGTTTTCATACAGTTTGTTCTCAGGACTCCTTCACAGTTAAAAATCATTTTTGTGAAGGGAAAATGAGCATTTATTACAAAAGCATAGTAGGCTATATCATAAACAGAATAGCTAAAAGTAGAGATGTCAGTTAACAGCAGACTGCTCCACTGGTAGCCATCAACAAAACTATACATTTCATTTTAAGAGAAAGATTTTGGATATTCATGCTTTTTTCTCAGTTAAAGATTATTGAAGGCTTCAAAGATTCTCTTCCTTTTTGTTGAATTTTTTTAGAATTTCATGCAATATATTTTGATCATATTTAGATTCCCCTCTTCATCTGCACTGTCCCCTTACTATCCCCAGCCCAATTTCATGTACTCTATTTTATACCTATGTATCTGTGAATCTATGTATAAGATGATAGACCGATAGAGAGATGAGAGATGATAGATGATAGATAGATAGATAGATAGATAGATAGATAGATATAGATAGATAGATAGATAGATAGATAGATAGATAGATAGATAGATAGAAAGGTCTATAGCATCAAATTTGTGTCCACAAATGTCCTTCAGTATGGATCCCATGGAGCCTGGTCACAGCCTTCAAAGAGACTGACTCTCTCCTTCTGAGCAGCCATTGGTTTCCAATAGTTCCTCAGGTAGGGTTGGGGTAATTACTTTTTTCCCCTCGTCTATGCTGTAATTTTTTTCTGACTTGAGCTTATGTGGGACTTGTGCATGCTGCCACCATTGCTGTGAGTTCATATGAGCAACTTCCAAGCTCTCTGGAAAACTCTGTTTCCTTGTAATCATTTACCACCTCTGACTCTTATATCTATTTAGCAAAAAGTAGTATTGGGCTCTCCCCTATGGTGTGTGGCCTATGTAGCCACATACTCTTAGGCCTGATATCAACGTCAGGTATGGGTTTTGTCCTATGAAGTGGACCTTAAATCCAATTAGAAAGTGATTCTTTACTCCCGTAATATCCATCCCACTCTTTCACCAGTGGGCATATCTTACAGGCCAGTTGTTGAAGAGTACAGAATTCACATCTGGATAAGGGTAATGATTAAATTTTTTCTTCTGGTAGCGTGCATAGCACCTTCCAGCACTATGAATGCTAGCCAGTAGAGATGAAACTTTGATGTCAGTACCATTTTTATTTTTCTATGGGTCATGTATGTAGTATCTTCAGCAATTGTGTCTTAACATCAAGTTTTGGTGCATCATCAAGAGCAGGGACAATGGCTAGCATTGTTTGAGAGTTGATGGAACCCCTGGTCAACAGCTTCAAAAGAGACAGTGCCTCCCTTGCATACTTTGTTAGCCTATGATATCTAGTGGGACAATGTCCTTTTAATTTCCTTTCATAATGCATGTGTATACTCCTGAAGAAACTTCTATAGTGATAGCTTTCCATATGGCTTTTTCTAAAGGTCTTTATTGTTAGCGATCCCTCCCCATCCTCCCTCCTCTGCCCGCCCTCCCATTCCCCACCCCATTTAACCCTTTCTACTCCATTATTCCCTTTTCCTCCCTTATTTCACTGCGTTCTATCTCCCTTTGCGTGAAGTCTTCCCATCTGTGATGGTTTGAATGAGAACGTTCCCCATAGGCTCCAAGTAGTTAGATATTTTGTCCCCAGTTGGTGGCGCTGTTTTGGGAGGTCTTAAAGGTGTGGCTATGCTGGAAGAAGCGTGTCACTGGGGGTGGGCTTAGAGGGTTCTTAAGCTTTACCAGATCTCCAGTCTCTCTCTGGTTTCTTGTGCCTGCTTAAAGATTTACAGCCTAACTTCCGCTCCTCCTCCAGCCACCTCTGTCGCCATGCTAAAGAGTTCACCATGATGAACTCTTGCCCCTTTGGAACCTTAAGTTCAAGTGAACTCTTCCTTCTATAAATTGCTTTGGTCAGTGTTTCTATCACAGCAACAAAAAAAGTAACTAATATACCACCCAACGTTGGACGTTTATTTGTTTTCCGACCTCTGAGGATTTTCCAGTTGAAAGATGTATGTCTAAGAATTCAAGGCTAGCATCTGTCTATGAGAGAAAAAAGGTGATGCTTTTCTTTCTGGGTCTGGGTTCCCTCACTCAGAATGATTGTTTCCAGTTCCATCCATTTACCTGAAAATTTCATAATTTCATTTTTTGACAGATGAATAATATTCCATTGTATAAATGTACCGCACTTTCATTGTCCAGTCATCAGTTGATGGACATCAAGATTGTTTCCATTTCCTAGCTATTATGAATAGGGCAGCAATGAACGCGGATGAACAAGTATCTCCTAAGGAGTATAGAGAGTTTTTTTGGGTAAATGCCCAAGAGTGGTATGGCTGGATCATATGGTAGATTAATTTGTAGCCTTTTTGAGGAATCTCCACACTGGTTTCTATGGTGGATACACTAAGTTATACTCCCAACAGTGGATCAGAGTTCCCCTTTCTCTACAACACCTCCAGCATTTGTCATCCTTTGTTTTTTGGATTTTAGTCATTCTGAGTCGGGTAAGATAGGATCTCAAAGTGGTTTTAATTTGCAGTTCTTTGATAACTAAAGATGTTGAA